AATTTTTGGTAAATCCATCGGACTACCGACTGCAAGAAAAGAAAATTACGAAAATTATAAGAGCTTGCGATTTTTCTATAGGGAAACGTTCAAATCTATGCAATACTACAAGCTTTCTACTATAAAGTTGTTTTTAGTAAGTGTCGAATTTTTCTTTTAACTAAATTTTATTATACGTCAGTATCAACAGAATCGTGCAATAAAAGAGAAATTGCCAAAATTTTAATAACCTTCAATTATAACAATCATAAATAGTATTTGTTCATATTATTGGTCAACTGTATTATTTGTGCTTCATTATTGATACATGGTTTTTTGGCTTTGAAATACCTACCAACGACAGTGATTGGTATTCGCCGTGGAATGATGTAGTTCTGGAGCAATACCCAGCCTATGTAAAAGATCGGATGGAAACCCAGTATTTTACAATTAAAGTTCATCACCTTTTTCATAAATGAGCCTTTTAGAAACGTTATCTTGTCGTATGCGTTCGTTTCTCCGAATGAACAGACAGGAACTATGGAAACGCTAAAAGAAACAAGTTCTGCTATTATACGGAGACTTGGCAAGAATAGCATTAAACCATAATTATTATATTTTTACATAAAAACATTATGTTAAGAAGAAGTGAATATTGAATACGGATTTGTCATATCTCATAATAGTCTGCTTTGAGTAATTTGTGTATCTTTACAACTGTTTTCCGAAAATGAACTCATAAATGCATAAAATAAGTCAAAATGTATAAATGTGTAAGTATCCATAGTGTTGTCAAAAATAACCAGAACAATTTATTAATGCATAACAATTTATATAATGATGACTATTTTAGCGCCGACGTTTTTATCTACTGAAGATTGCTTAACATAGTGTATCATTTGTGTTTAGCCCGTTAAAATATAACACAATGTTAACTGGATCAATGAAGCAAGGAATTGATTCGTTTAACTTTAACTCGATGAACGCAGTTGTTTACTTGTTTCTTATAAATTAGTATATAAATGAAATAAAGGTGAAAATCTCTGTAACAATCTAATTAAATTTAACGTAGATTAGTTCGAAAAACCATTTCTATTGTTTCATGTTCTCTCGAGATTGTCATCCGAATCAATAAAAATAATAGCAATTCTAACCCATTTTTCAGCGAGAGTCTTACGAAGCCTTTCCTTCTTTTTATCAGGATACGATATGTGCCTGGCTTGGATTCCGTTGCTTCCGCTGCTCCACCGACTATCAGAACTGTTGCTCTTCCGCTGTATCGAGCCTCAGGTTTCGTCGACAGTAGTAGGTTCACGCTTTCTGCACTGCTGCTGGCAACAGCTGTATTTTTTTTTTTTTTTGAATGGTAATGGAACATATATAACTCTAAGGTTATGAAGTGAAAAGTACGAAAGTTGGAGAAGCCCAAAATAAAAAGGAGATCTATGTATTGTCAATATTGGACTGAAGATTCAAGAAATTGCAGGGAGAGGAAGAAACGATAATGATGATGTCGTTACATGATACGATAATTTATTGTTTTTCTAACAGGAATTATGCAAGAATTAACATATTAATCTTTACTTGCAATATTCGAGGGGAAAGTTTCTTTCCTTGGAAAAGATTTCTAATTGTAAGCATTTTAATTGCAAAGTTGATTGTAATTATTCGTAATTGGCTGAGAAACGGACAAATCCCAATGTAATCACTAAGTGGAAAAATCCAAATTACAAAAAAAACATTTATTGTACATCGTGATCTATCATGTTATGTATTTGAATATAACTGTGTGCATAAATATGTTTATATAACATGAATTAAGAAAAATGAATATACGAAATGCTTATATAACTGATTTAGTCACAGCAAACAGATTTTTCTGAACTTTCAATTGTACAGCGATTATTAACGTGGTACAAGAAGTGCAAACACTGATATGTAATTCTGCATATACATTACATGAATGGTAAAAATATATTATCGACCCTTTTAACAAAAAAGATATAATTCTATAACCTGATTGTTTTGTAAAAGATAAATCTACACAATAATCACGTTGTAGAATTCTTATCTTCAAATAAATAATTAATTTGAATATATTTGAATTGATTTGAATATATGATTAATTATGAGGGAAACGTTATTCAAATAATTTGGGTAAAGAACCCAAATTACATGTCGATAAAGTAAATGACAAGCACCATAAAGAACCCAAATTACGTGTCGATAAAGTAAATTATTAATATGAATAATTTCATTTGAGAGATGATTGAAATAAAATACCTGAATGATACGTACAATAGATGCGGCAGTAGTCTCGGAAAAACGGCGCCTTGAAAAATTGTTCCAACATGATTATATTAATATCGAGACCCGGGAACAATTCTCTGAAACCGGCGGCATCTGTACCAAAGGCACAATAAACACCCAAACATATTAGGCCATGTGGGAAATTGCAAAATAAATACGACTTGTTCGGATCCAAGTCGGTGGTTTTCACTAATTTTACAGGGAAGTAGTTGCAAAAATACCGATTAAATGCACACGTTCTTATCCACTGCTTCAATCGTGCCCTGCAAAAATTACAGTTCAACTGGTTAAAGAAAATGTAACGTGTTGTTGAAGATTAAACAGCTTACGTAAAATACACTGTTAGATCACTTAT